AGATTTTTTATATTTATCTGCTTCACCTAGTCCCTTTCTCACTACTGCACCCCAACTTGAAGCAGCCTTTTTCCCGCCACCATGGCTTTGTCCAGAAGGTCGTCGGAAGACGTCTGGTCTAATTAGCATACTGCCCTTTTATTAGTATAGCTAAGCAATTGATTGTGAGAATTTTGTCGCTTAATCAAAAGGAAAGGTGCCATCCAGACACTGTGTTTGTTTTCTAGGGACACAACCAAATCATTGCATACAGCAGACCAATCTATTTTTGTGTGCTGTGTGGCCTTCTTTTGCTTCTCGATGCAGGGGCCAAAGCCAGGCACCCCCCCACCTACGTCGTGTACGGCCTGAAGCTGTGCTCCCCGGGGTCACTCCAGTCCGCCAGGGACTTCCTCCTGGGTGAGCGCCTCCCGGGGGGAGGGGGGAGTGTACGGGAATGCAGGGGAGCGAGGGTCTGGGCTCCATGTCCCTTCTGAGAGACTCCCCGATGGGAGAGACTTCCCCATGAGGGTATGGGATGAAGCTGTGCATTCTCCTCTGGGCTTGCCCACCTTTGGGGGACCGTGGGTGCCAAGGCCCTGGAGCCTCCAGTGCCGGATCGTTCTAAAGGGTCTTGATCCTGGCCGGCGTGGCTCAGGGGCTGAGCATCGACCTATGAACCAGGAGGCCACGGTGCAATTCCCGGTCAGGTGGACGCTCAACCCCTGAGCCACGCCAGCCTGGTGTAATTTTTCCTTAACCAACAACTATAAACCTGCCTTTGCCCCATGCTGTACCATCAAGTGCCACGTAGGGAAGCGATTGGCCCTGAGAAGTGTCCTCAGGTGATGGCATCAGCCACCAGAGTGTAGCCCACACACCATTTACCACCGTCACGGATGTGGCCCTTTGTTGGCCAAAATGTCATTATTTGGCCGGTGACAGTAGTTCAGATCTCGCCACTGAAAACATTGCAACGAATTCACCGTGAGCATCCAACTGTGACCCCATGCCGAGCGAAGGCCCCCTTTTCATGGCCACGTTCGTTACGTCCGTCACCTTTTACTCACGAAGTTGGCCCACCTCTCGGCCCAGCTGTAGAGGGATTTGTCCCTTGCATGCTTGCTTTTAACCCACTGCGAGCGAGAGGAGGACACGGAAATCTCCCGTTCCTACCATTTCACCGGGAAAGCCTGCATTTCCGATTTTTCAGCAATAACTGAACACCTCCCTTTCCCCCACCTCCTCCCTATCCCCCCGGCATCTACTCCCGCTGTTGACTAGTTGATGTATAGGGTTTAGACATAATCCCTGTGTTTGGCTTATTGGGTTTCAAATCTAATTTCCTTTGTTTTATTGAGGATTACCAGGATCCAACTCCATTGACATTCTACCCAATTCACTGAGACGGCAAGGAGGACAGATGCGCCCTAGCATTACTAACGTCGGTTTCCGTGGTTCTGTGAAACCCAGCGGAAATGGAATTTAGAGTGAGAGAGAGAGAGAGAGAGAGAGAGAGCCAAGCTGTGTGCACATGGATGCTTTATGCAGTGCGTGGCGATGGCTGGGGGAGGCGGCACTCCGTGTCCCCGCGTCAGGGTGTGGAGTCTCTTAGTTCATCGCCAGTCTCCCTGGCTCCCTGTGGAGTCTGGAGTCAAGACTGAACTCTGAGTCTCCAGCCGCTGTTTGTTTATTTATTTAAATAATTTTCTATTGCTTTCAGAGAGGAAGGGAGAGAGAGATAGAAACATCAATGATGAGAGAGAATCATGGATCGGCTGCCTCCTGCACGCCCCACCCTGGGGATCGAGCCCGCAAGCCGGGCATGTGCCCTGACTGAAAACCGAACCCTGACCTCCTGGTTCATAGGTCGATTGCTGGCCATTCCTTGGACAGTCCACGCGCCGGGATGTGTGTGAATGAGAGTGAGTGGGTGTCAGGGTGGCGCGTGTGCATGTGGCCACGTCCGGGAGCGTGTGAATGCAGGCTCCAAGGATAGCCACACAAAGCAGGGACCCCCCCTGGGCTCCAATTGTTGCCCCCCCCTCTGTCCCCAAGAGGAAGAGCCCCCCCTAACTGCCACCCTGGGGTTTCCATGTCCCTGTCACTTTCCCGGGCCACTTTCTCCCACTCTCATCTGCCTCGAGCCCACATCCGCCTGGTGAGCTGAAGGCCAGTCTGCTCCCAGCATCCTGGGGTCACGCTCAGGCCAGGCGGCCAGGCCCTCTCTGCTGGCTCCGTCTCAGAGCAGCCTCTGGCTTCCACTGCACACGCTGGGCTCAGCCTAGATGGACCCCGGCCCGCGGGGTCCCGGGCGATGGGGAGGGATGTCGTGGGCGGGCAGGGGGACCACGGCGGGGTCCAGGCACTCCGCCCCCTCACCGCCCCTCTGTCTGTGCCCTTGCAGGGTTTTTGTATTGCTTCCCGGCCATGTCTCTCCTGGGCCTCTTCCCGCAGATCAACACGTTCTGCGTTTACCTTTTGGAACAAATCGATATGCTGGTCTTCGGGGGTTCTGGTACGTGTCCTCCTCCTCCTCCTCCTCCTCCTCCTCGGGCTGGAACTCCCGGGATCCGGGCGGTGTCTTCTCGTTGACCTGAGCGCCTGACCTGCTTCCGGTCGGCTCGGTCAGGGCCCAACCGAGAGGGGCCCACCTTGCTGGGTCCAGCCAGGCAGGAACCAGGGAGGGATGGGCTCTCGGAGCCGTGGAGGGGGCTGGGGGCCCGCTGGCCATTCCTTGGACAATCCACGCACCAGGATGTGTGTGAATGGGGCCGGGATGTGTGTGAATGAGAGTGAGTGGGTGTCAGGGTGGCGCGTGTGCATGTGGCCACGTCCGGGAGCGTGTGAACACGAGCGTGGGCTGTGCCATTGCGCGTGTGGTCGGTGTGCCCCTGTGCAGGCACGTGTGGCTGCCCCTCCCGGGGCCTCTGGGCCGAGCAGGTGAGACTCGGACCCAAGCACCGATGCCTGAGTGTGCGGCCTGACCCCGCGCCCTGACCCCGCGCCCTGGCTGTGGGGACCGCGGTCTAGGAAGGCCTGTTGCCGCTTGTGTTCCAGCTGTTTCTGGGATGACGTCCGCTGTCTGCAGCCAGGCTCGGGCTGGAACTCCCGGGACCCGGGCGGTGGCTTCTCGTTGACCTGAGCGCCTGACCTGCTTCCGGTCGGCTCGGTCAGGGCCCAACCGAGAGGGGCCCACCTTGCTGGGTCCAGCCAGGCAGGAACCAGGGAGGGATGGGCTCTCGGAGCCGTGGAGGGGGCTGGGGGCCCGCTGGCCATTCCTTGGACAATCCACGCACCAGGATGTGTGTGAACGAGAGTGAGTGGGTGTCAGGGTGGCACGTGTGCATGTGGCCACGTCCGGGAGCGTGTGAACACGAGCGTGGGCTGTGCCATTGCGCGTGTGGTCGGTGTGCCCCTGTGCAGGCACGTGTGGCTGCCCCCTCCCGGGGCC